ATATATATATTGACCACAGTTACTGCACAGTGAGAAAGTATGTGTATGATTCCTCTCTCTCTTTTTGGCTGTGTTGGTATTCAGCCACATACAATTTAGAGGAAAGCTCTTGTTATGCTTAATTACATTCAAATAGCACGACAAACATTCATTTCTGCTGAAATCATTTGTGCCTTAGTCAACATTTTTTCCTTTCAGCGTTGGATGTTCTAGGAATTAATTCTTTTTTTATGAGCTGCACTTGGCCTGCAAGCTATACAGAATGAGGTGAAGTGGAGGATAATGCCTCTTAGGCTTTGTTTAGGAGAATGTCCTTTTTTATTTATGTCTGCATGCACTGAAGTGAAAGTTTATTTTCAGTTGTGCCCTTAAGAAGTGATCAAGCAATGTTGTATAAGAACATAGTATTTGCCTGAGATCTTTCCAGGCCTTTCAGTCTGGTACCTTAATTCTTCAGAGGAGAGTATCCTCCTCTTCCCAACATTGAATATAATTGAACAGTGTTTGAAAAAAAAATCTTTCTTTAACCAATATGGTGATCAGTTAACTCAGCATGATATTCAAATGTTAATACAATTTTTTTCTTTAATCTAGTGATAGCACTGTATGTAACACCAGGTCTTCTGCAACTGTAAATTTTACAGTCTGGCTACTTGCTATATGAAGAAATGTTTCCTTTAATTTATTCTAAATTAACATACAGTACTGTCATTTTCCTAATCTGAGGTGTATCAGCCATGTACTCCTGAATTCATCTTGTCACCATGTAAGGCCTCACTTTTCAAGGAACTGAGTCCCAAATCTCCCACTGAATTCAGGTGGAGCTGGAGGTGCTCATCACCTCTGAAAATCAGCTCCACAAATTTTTTAGTTGAAATTAATCTGATTCAGTCTGAGGACATCAGACAAGCTAGTTTTCTTATCAGCTACAACTGCAGTCTTCTTCAGTCTTCACATCCACTTTGCTGTTTAAACAAAAATTCACATAGCAGCACAAGGCATATGTTTTCACCATTTCTGCAAGTTTCCCAAGGGTATGTCTACACTACCCCGCTAGTTCGAACTAGCGGGGTAATGTAGGCATACCTCACTTGCAAATGAAGCCCGGGATTTGAATTTCCCGGGCTTCATTTGCATAAGCCGGCCGGCGCCATTTTTAAATGCCGGCTTGTTCGAACCCCGTGCCGCGTGTAGTCGGCATTTAAAAATGGCGCCGGCCGGCTTATGCAAATGAAGCCCGGGAAATTCAAATCCCGGGCTTCATTTGCAAGTGCGGTATGCCTACATTACCACCCTAGTTCGAACTAGGGTGGTAGTGTAGACATACCCTAAGTTATTATTTGATCTGACTGGATGCTTTTATTTAAACTGCCACTCATTTGGCACAATGTTTGAACTGACTCATTTGTGGAACAGGTAGGTGACTAAGATCTCTGTAGAAAGATTTACGAACATTCTTTCCTGGGACTCTTCCAATATGTGGAAATGGATTGCTATTTTGCAGCAGTTATAACTCAGAATCTGTGTGCTGCAGGTAAATACAACAAAAATTGTTTTAATCGTTTGCACTAAATATCTGTTATTAAAGATCTGAGCATGGTTGAATAGGACCACATATAAAAGTAAGTATAGTATTTTAATTCAGAGGAAACACGTGGACTATTCCCTTGGGGTACGTCTACACTTCCTCCCTTGTTCGAAATAATGAGGAGTAATGTTAGTTTGAACCAGGGGGTTCAAACAAGAGCACACTTCCTGGTTCGAATCAGCTGGTGAGCGGAATAGCGTGCAGGCGAGATTATGCTAATGAAGCACGGGATATTTAAATTCCCGCTTCATTAGCAATTTCGGTCATCTACATTTGCATCCCTAGTTTGAACTAAGGTGCAAGTGTAGACATACCTTTATAGTATAAGACTGGGTGGAAAAATTATTTCAGTCTAAAATGCATTCCATGTAATTTTATTTTTTTAAACCTCAAAAGCATGTTTCTTTGAATTTATAGTCATCTCAGTGGTTTTCAACCTGTTCCATGGGCTTGCTTCAAGAATGCTGACAGCAGGCCCCTGCCAGTTTGTTTACCTAAAGGGTCTGTAGCCATGGAGCCTCATAGCTCTCATTTACTCCGATTCACTATGGAACAGACCCATTAGGTAAACAAACTGGCATGGGCCAGCTAGCGACTTTCCTAAAGTGGGCCTGAGGAATAATTAGAGAACCACTGATCTAATTCAATTTCCAAAATATAATAAAATCTTATTCTTCATATTCTGCATCTCACAAAGTGGGTTCCATCTCACAAAAGATTATGCCCAAATAAATTTGTTAGTCTTTAAAGTGCCACAGTACTCTTCATTGTTTTTGCTTGAACAGATTAAAATGGCTGTCCTCTGAAACTTATTCTTCATTGCCTAAGTTGATGGCTGAAGGACTTAGCAAGGAAATTCTCTTCCCATGTATAATATAACTGCATTTGGGAATGAAATAAGGGTATCAGATTCCTCTTCAACATCAGATACAGATCACAACCAGAAGCTGGATGCTGGATTCAATAGAGTGGTGGTCTGATCAAGTAAAGTAAATCCTGTGGCTCAAGAGGTGACTTGATTTCATCATCAATTATGAGGCTTATTTTCAGAGAGAAAGCAGATTGATTAGAAAAGCTGTGTTTTTCCAGGCTTGTCTTTGGCAATGTTCTAGAAATACAAAAACACTAATAAGTAACAGAGTTGTGAAAAAAAATACTAATATCAAATCACAACTTATATTCAAAATCTCACAGAACATTCCAATACTCCATTCCTGAAAAACTGTTATCCAAGTATGATAGTTTTACAAAACGTGCTCTTTAGATAATTTATACTGATTTAGCTAAAGATTGGTGGTGAATTGGTGAAGAATCACATAGAGCTAGCTATATAAAATACAGTAGTCATGTATACTTAGGAGAGAGACATATACAAGGATATGCAGTTTGTCATCATATTTCTCAGCATACTTTCTAACAAATAAAACAAACATTTGTACTAGCAGGCTGGGATCAGGCTTGCAATATGGGGCCCTATCTGCATACACTCCAGCACACATGTCTAAGGACACTGAAGCTGAAGCTAACCTTCCCTCTCCTCCCCATTATTTTTGTAGTTACTCTTTTTGGTTCTGTGTATGTGGGAATCTGAGGACAGGTCTACACTTCTGCAGTAAGTTGACCTAAGGTACACAACTCCAGCTATGTGAATAACATAGTTGGAATCAACTTACCTTTAGGTCAAATCTACACCATGCAGGGTCAACAGGAGACACTATTCCATCCACTTATTTTACTGTTCTCATCAGGGATAGAGTACAAAGATTGACTGGATTGTGATATGCAGTCGATTTGACAGCTCTTCACTAGATCCACTAAATTGACTGCTGGTGCTTCAGTCTCCACTCTGTTGATCCTGGTTGTAGTGTAGATGTAGCCTGAGATAAGACACAAGCCTTGAGAGACTGTGCAATGCAGACATATGTCCAGTGCCAATGATGGTGCATACAAACACAGCTCCTCACATCAATGGAGCTCCAGCAGGTATGAATTTACCCCATTATAATAACATTCATCTTGCACAAAAGAAAATATTTTTAATAAATAGTACACACGATGCCATAACAAAGTGATTTTATTGACATTCCTGTATAGTGATATGATTGAATAGAAAGCGCAGCCTGAGTATCATGTGACATTTTTCTGTCAATATAAGCAAAATCAGTCCAATAATGAGGACTTTTACTGCCATTGACTTGTATGAAGTCTTTAACAAAACAATAATAGACATTTCCTTTAGATAAATTGGAAGCTGCAGGGAATTTGGCTAATGGTACAATATTTACTATACCTAGTACTTACTAGCTACAAGCATCTGTCTACTTGAACAAAGGGACTACATTACTCACTAGAGAAAAAGTAACAATCCAATTTTTTGGACATTGTGATAGCTGGAAAACCTATCCCAGATTTGTAGTATATTGCAGTCATTTTTAATAATAAACTCTGAGGTACAGCAAGAATGATAATAAAGTAAGCACCACATTTGTTGTAGAAAGGTTTGTCGGTCTGCATGTGACTGAAAGTGTTTAATCTTCACTGGGAAGCCCTGTTCATATGTTGCTTTGAAAACCAAGTGGACATTCATGATTTCAACATAAATTCATCAAAGAATTCTAAAGCCAAAGTCATCTTGCTGGAACCCCATGCACATCAGCAGGATTAACGCCAGAGATGAATTTAACGTACCAGTTTATGTCTACTATTCAAGTATATATTCACATATGAAAATAATTAAAACATTTTTTTGTTCAAAGGTCTTAACTGACTCTTTCAAATTATGTTCTTTTCTCTACTCCCTACCCAACCTGGTGTGATGATTTCAATCTCCAACTGTTTCCAACTGGGCTATGTCAAACAGTTGTTATGATGAAACCTGAAAAAACCAAAACCGTCTAGGTTTCAGATTAGGTTTCAGATTCACAATTCGACCACAGTTCATTGAAATTTCATATGCAATTGAGCAAACTGGGGAACAAATATATTTTCTCATCATAACTTTATAAAACTTGTGGTTTCTATGTAAAACTAAATGTAGCCTGTCCTATTTGCTTTCAGTTTTGTGATGCCCTTGGACCCCAGTCGCTAGAAGGCAGTCACCTGGGGTGCACACCTGCATGGGCCTGAATAAAAGGCTTGTGTGAACCACTGCAAACTGAAACTACTGAATTAGTAATGATCAGATTTAGTACCTTCAAACAGTGAAATGCAGCTGTACTCCTGCTGGCTCAAAAGCTGGCTAACTTACTCATATGAGCAATTCTGCTGAAGTCAATAGGACTACCTGAGAGCAGCTGGTAAGCAAGTTTTGGACTATATTTCTTCATGCTTTTACCGCTAACAACTCAGCAGAGTTTTAGAAAAACAACAAAAACAAAATAACATTCTGAGACCCAA